GAAATTTATACTCCACTTAAAAGACATTCTTTCTTAAGGAGCATGGAGAAAAACTACAGATGGGTTAATGGTTTGCAGAAGGGTTGAAAATAAAAATAAAGTGAATATACACTAAGAATATTAATGGTTCAGTGAAAGATTGGGGGCCATTCATCAACTGAACAGATGTGCAGGCTTTATCTGAGATACTTTTCACTGTATATACTCAAAAAGTATCCCAATCCAAAAATAATATCCATAAAATAGTTTGCCATGTTAGCATTTCTGGCTTGAAAATTCAATGTGCAATACTGTTTTTAGTTAGAAATGAAAAATGCCAATGGGTAATTGAACAAAAAGCTCAGAGGATATTCTGTTTTGCATGCAAGAAGCATCAATTATTTCTTTTCAGTAACCGTGATGTTACATTTCTGTTTCTGCAACCAATGGGTGTCCCAAAATGCAGTTTTCTCTTTTCTTTCTAGATATATTTTGTTTCACATAAAAATATATAAACTCTATATATGTCAGCAAAGTAATGTACTGCTTTTCCCTTTTATTGTGTTTTAAATATTTTACCTGAACCATAGATGTGAATTCTGAATATGTGACTTAGATGACGATGACAGAATCTGATCATATTCATGCTTTATTTGAAGTCTAATGGCTAAAATAAATCTCTAAATTCTCTGTCTTTCAAGAATAACATTTGACAGCATGAAAAAGACATTTTCTATCTTTAAGACTATTTGTTCATCTTTCAGATCTCAGCAACCCTTGAAATCTAACTAACAACAACAAAACAAAATCAGCTGAAACGTAAAAAGAACAAAGACTATCTCCGAACAATTTTATTCCTCCATCTTGGCTTAGTCCTTTTGGGAAATGGAACCTGGCAGCATAAATAAACTAGCATAACTAGTGTCACTGTCCTGTAGTACATCTGGGTGGGGACAAAAATTCCCACTCTCTCTGTGCTCCAAGAACTCCGATCCCAATTCAGATATTAGCAGTGGGAACACTATCACTGCTGCTACTCTCTAATGGAGTTAGATGCAGCTGAGTTGGCCCCTTAGAAACATAACCTGAGGAAGTCGAGATGGCTTTATATAGGTTTTTCCAGTGACCAAACTATTTCTTTAGACCATCTTGACTCTGCTCCTTTCTCCTGGGTAGTTTCCACTGGCTTTAAACCAGACCCCTAACCTTCAACTGATGGCTTAGAGAAAGGTCTCACTATAAATCAGAATTATTACCTGTAGGTTATTGATATTAAAATCCTTTTAAGGATCAAGAAAATCACATTCATCTAATATTGCATAGATACAGTTTGATGAAACTCTTTTACAAAACTGGTAGAGTAAAAAAAAAAAGACCAGGCACCTTTTCTTCAGATGGGAACTATCGCCCAACCCCAAACTAGATCCCATGAATTGTTAACTACAGGAAAAATAAGAATTTTGCTTCTTCAAAGATGCTACAACTCTGCTGTTAGTCTACACTGCCTAACAGCTTTATAAAAGAATTTTTATAAAGAAGGACCAGTAGTTGGAAATATGGTCTTGATGATAAAAATGATACCAGAGATTGCATGACACAATTTTGCAAGACCAACAAATTATTCATTGCAAATATCTTTTCTCAACAGCACAAACAGCGACTATACACATGGACCTCGCCAGAAGAAATACACAGGAATCAAATCAACTACACCTGTGGAAAGAGAGAATGGAGAAGCTCAATATCATCAGTCAGAATAAGGCCAAGGGCCGACCGTGGAACAAATCATCAATTGCTTATATGTAAGTCCAAGTTGAAGCTGAAGAAAATGAAAACAAATCCACGAGAGCCAAAATACGACCTTGAGTATATCCCACCTGAATTTAGAAACCATCTCAAGGACAGATTTGACGTACTGAACACTAATGACCGAAGACCACACAAGTTGTGGGATGACATCAATGGCATAATACATAAAGAAAGCAAAAGATCATTAACAAAGTCAGGAAAGAAAAGACCAAAATGGATGTCAGAAGAGACTCTGAAACTTCCTCTTGAACAGAGAGTAGCTAAAGCAAATGGAAGAAATATGAAGAGCTGAACAGAAGGTTTTCAAAAGGAAGCTCCAGAAGACAAAGTAAAGTATTATAATGAAATGTGCAAAGACCTAGAGTTAGAAAACCAAAAGGGAAGAACACACTCAGCATTTCTCAAACTGAGAGGAATGAAAAAAAAAAATCAAGACTCAAGTTAAAATATTGAAGGATTCTACAGGCAAAATAAGGTTTTCACTGGCTAATTTTTTTCAGAAGTAGACCACCAGGTCCTTCTTCCTAGTCTAAGTCTGGAAGCTCAGCTGAAACTTATCCACCATGGGTGACCCTACCAGTATTTGAATATTGGTGGCATAGCTTCCAGCATCAAGCAACATGCAAGCCCCCACAGTATGAAAAACTGACAGACATGTGGGGGAAAGTAGAAAAGCTATAAAGAACCAATTTTAGCAAGTTACTTTTTGGAAATAGTTATTTTACAACATGTTTATCAGAGAATCACAAGCTGCAAGGGACCAAGAGAAGCCACCTGGTCCAATCTCCTTGGAAGAAGTACAGCCAGAATTCTCCTTAGAAGCAAGGATGACGAGACTTCATCTCACATACTTTGGACATATCATCAGGTGGGTTCAGTCCCTGGAGAAGGATATCATGCTTGGTAAAGTACAGGGTCAGAAAAAAAAAAGGAAGATCCTCAACGAAATGGACTGACACAGTGGCTGCAAAAATGGGCTCAAATATAACAACAATCATGAGAATGGTGCAGGACCAGGCAGTGTTTCGTTCTGTTGTACATACAGTCACTATGACTCAGAACTGACTTGATGGCACCTAACAACAACACGGGCAAAATATTGAACAATGCAAGAAGCATTAAAAGAAGATGGAAAGAATACAGAGAGTCATTGTACCAAAAAGAATTGGCCAACATTCTACCATTTCAGAAGGCAGAATATGATCAAGAACCAATGGTACCGAAGAAAGAATTCCAAGCTGCACTGAAGGCACTAGCAAAAAACAAGGCTCCAGGAACTGACAGAATACTGACTGAGATGTTTCAACAAATGGATGTAATGCTGGAGGTGCTCACTTGCCTATATGAAGAAATTTGGAAGACAGCTACCTGGCCAACCAACTGTAAGAGAGTCATATGTGTGCCCATTTCAAAGAAAGGTGACCCAACAGAGTGCGGGAATTATTGAACAATATCATTAATATCACACGCAAGTAAAATTTTGCTGAAAATCATTCAAAAGCAGTTGCAGCAGTACATCGACAGGGAACTGCCAGAAATTCAAGCCAGATTCAGAAGAGGACATGGAATGAGGGATATCACTGTTAATGTCAGATGAATCTTGGCTGAAAGCAGAGAATACCAAAAAGATGTTTACCTGTGTTTTATTGACTATGCTAAGGCATTCAACTGGGTGGATCGTAACAAATTATGGATAACATCGCGAAGAATGGGAATTCCAGAACACTTAATTGTGCTCATGAGGAACCTGTACATAGATCAAGAGGCAGTCATTTGAACAGAACAAGGGGATACTGTGTGGTTTAAAATTAGGAAAGGTATGCGTCAGGGTTGTGTCCTTTTACCATACTTATTCAATCAGCATACTGAGCAAATAAAGCTGGACTCTATGAAGAAGAACGTGGCATCAGGATTAGAGGAAGACTCATGAATAACCTGCCATATGCAAATGACACAACCTTGTTTGCCGAAAGAAAAGAGGATTTGAAGCACTTACTGATGAAGATCAAAGACTACAACCTTCAGTATGGATTATACCTCAATATAAAGAAAACAAAAATTCTCACAACTGGACCAATAAGCAACATCATGATAAAGGGAGAAAAGATTGAAGTTGTCAAGGATTTCATTTTACTTGGATCCACAATCAACACCCACAGAAGCAGCAGTCAAGAAATCAGATGACACATTGCATTGGGCAAATCTGCTGCCAAAGACCTCTTTAAAGTGTTCAGAAGCGAAGATGTCCCTTTGAGGACTAAGGTGCACCTGACCTAAGTCATGGTATTCTCAATCACCTCATATGCATGTAAAAGCTGGACAATGAATAAGGAAGACCGAAGAAGAACTAATGCCTTTGAATTACGGTGTTGGCGAAGAATATTGAATATACCGTGGACTGGAGAAGAATGAACAAATCTGTCTCGGCAGAAGTACAGCCAAAATGCTTCTTAGAAGCAAGGACAGCAAGACTTCGTCTCAAGTACTTGGAACATGTTATCAGGAGGGACCGGTCCCTGGAGAAGGACATCATGCTTGGTAAAGTGGAGGGTCAGCAAAAGAGGAAGACCTTTAAGAAGATGGATTGACGCAGTGGCTGCAACAGTGGGCTCAACGATAGCAACGATTGTGAGGATGGTGCAGGACCAGGCAGAGTTTCATTCTGTTGTACACAAGGTCGCTATGAGTCGGAACCGACTCGACAGCATCTAACAACAACAACACTGAAAGAGGACACATATCCCTTCAAAACTCTCACAGAGAGAAATCACCAATATAGCCAGGTTCACTCCTTGATGTTAAATTAAAGGAGTTCAAAGAATGTGGCAGAATACATGACAAGTGGCTGGCGTGGTAGTACTTAGTACGAGAGGAAGAAAGAGAAATAAGGCTTTCAAAGTACCACTGAGTGCTGTATCAATTTTCTTTCCTCTCCGCTCTCCTGATCATGATCAAGAATTGGCTTAAATCCCAGCACTATAAGATTAAAATAGATATTTCCTCAGTGGCTCCATCCCAGTGAACTACCAACTGAAAGAAAAATGAGTAGAAAGTGGAAGTAACCAAAGGAAGATACGCACTCTTATGAAAACAACTATTATTGCTATTGCACTCATGACAAAAAGCAGCTGACAAGCAGATTGTCGAGTTACATGAGCTGGCTTCAGCACACATAAACTTGAACAGTCTGTGCGCTCTTAAATTGAATATACCTGATCATTTCGGTTTTCAAGTCTTGGAGGAGAGCTGGAAATTGCTGGGGAGACTGCAGAGAGTTCTTGGAGTTTGGTGTCAATTTCTGCAAGCAGCCGGTGCTCGGCAACCGCGAGCGTGTATCCTTCTCCTGGTACCAGCCAGCCGGACTGATCACCCTAGGAGGAAACCAAGGTCACCAGGTCATTGCCATGCTATATGCACTCCAAAATGTACTGTATAGACTTCTACGTCAATGCTCAGGGCTTCACCAAAACAAGCAGAATTCACAGTGGGATAGTACAACCAAAAATTTAAAAAATTATGATTTGGTTATCTGCCAACCCTGTATAAAGTGTCCTCTTACACTCTGTGGATTCCCGCCCTCTCCCCTCCTGCTCTCCATGGACTAAATCTCCCAGCCTACAGTGTGGCTCTCATAACATTCTCATTTCTCTTCTTTAAAAAAGTTTGTGTTATGTTGTATAGTGAAAAATCTGGTTTTGCCCTCTGATGGACCTGGTATTTGCAGACTTTGTCTCCGAAAAGTAACATAGGGTCTATAAACTCTGTTGCTTGGATTCCATGAACTTGGTTGGTCATTGAATGTCTTATTCGATTACCATTAATTTCATATTGTCTTTTAAAACCCATTTAGAACAATTATAAAGATGGCGGAGGACCGGGCGACATTTCATTCTGTTATGCACAAGGTCGCCATGAGTCAGTCAACTGGATGATGACTAATAACATCCAACAAAGAACGTTCATTAAAAAGTCCCCCTCCTGAGTGCCTACTGTGCAAAGGCACTACACGGGGCACTGGTGATTCCATGTGAATCTCACAGGGTTCTGCTCTTAAGAGTTCTCAGTCTTTTGGCAGAGACGACTGTAATAAGGTCTGAAGTGTGCTGGTGAGCCCCGGGCACCATGGGAACCAGGGGAGGGTCAACTAAGCTCTGTGGGTAGGAAGGGGCAGGGGAGATGAAGTGGTGGCCGAAGGCTTCCTGGGAGAAACAGTGTCCCTTTCTCTTTACCCTCACCCTTCTCTCTGCTGGAAGATGGACAGACTGCCTACAGATAGAGCAGCAATCTTAGAACCCTAAAGACAAAAGCCACATTAAGGACACGGAGCAGGAAGACAGAAGGGCCCTAACTGCTGACACCTGGATCTTTGCTACTGAAGAAAATTAAGCTCCTTGTTTAAGTCGCTGTTCAGCCAATTTTCTGTTACCTGCACCCAATCATATTCTCAACTGATACCCCATTTTACAGGTATCCCTAAACAAGAGAAAACAGATGATGGAAGGAAATAACAGGAGATAATTTCCTGAACTAAAGAAAGACTTAAACCGTCAGATAAAAAGGTCCCATAAGGTAGCAAGAAGGAACAAAAAGGTCTTCAGAGACATAAATACATTCTGACAAAATTTGTGAACCCTAAAAATAAAGAGGAAATCCTACTTGCTTCCAGCAAGAGAGGGTTTTGCATCTGGAATTTAGTGACTGCCCGATCTGTGATTCAAATGAGGACAAAATAAATCCACTTTCTTGATATGTAAACACTCCATCATTACCCTACTTGCCAGCATTTGCGGACGTGAGGAAGCCTGGCTGCCCTCTGGATTGGGAGGGGCCTCCCTGGGCAAGCCTGCCTGCCCCAGACATAGCAACGCCATGGTCCGTTACCAGACAGACCCCAAAGGGCCTACTTAGAGGTCGCACACTGTGATGTTGTGTGGATGTGCTTTTGGTTTGGGGGGGGGCCGGGTGTTTTATTTGCCTACACAGGCACTTTTTTTAATCGAATTAGCTGTCAACATTTTAAAATTGGAATGTTTCACCTAAAAATCTGAATGTCTAGCTTCTCTTGAAAACCTGGAAGATCCTGGCGGCCCGAGGCAGGATTTCCACGCGCGAGCACCCAGCTGATGCTAGCATTCGCCCCCGTTGGACTGGCTGGCCCCTCCACACCGGCCCCAGGTTGTCACTGCGAGCGCACTGCGCATGCTCTGCTTTACACAAGTAGAAAACACTGTCCTCTGAACCTATGAGTCTTAGGCTGGGCACTCCAGAAGCAGAGTCTGTGATTTCTTGGAAGAATGCTTTCGGGTGAAGGGGTGTGAGGAAAACAGGCTAGGCCAAGGGAACAAAACCAATCCAGGATCTAGTCTCAGTTGAAGACAGGTTTGTCAGGAGAAGCTCTGGAAGACAAACTGCACCACAGAGCTAATCCCACCCAGAAGTGAGGGAGCTAGGTGGGGAGTGTGACCTCCTGGCCTGTTCAGCTCCCATTTAGCCCAGGCCAGTTCTCCAGGGAACGGAGCAGCCGTGCACCCTTAGCATGCAGGCTTGGGGGTGGGTGCACAGAGAGGCGCCAGGTAGTGGGGAGCTGAGCAGGCTGCCTACAGTATCCACTACAGCGTGTCTCTACTGAATGCGGGGAAATAGAACCAGACAACAGGGCAAAGTGCTTCGAAGAAAAAACCAGAGAATATTTCTTTGTTGACGTAGGGAATGTTCTTACAAGTTTAGTACACAAACAAGTGCAAATAGTGGAGCACTCGACTGCTAACCGAAAGGTCAGCAGTTCAAACCTACCAGCAGCTCCACAGAAGAAAGATGTAGCAGTCTGCTTCTGGAAAGATTTACAGCCTTGGAAACCCTATGGAGCAGTTCTACTCTGTCCTACTGGGTCGCTTTGGGTCAGAATCGATTCAACGACAGCAGGTCACAGGGGCACTCCTCATGGGATCTACTTGGGCCCTAAAAATACGTGGGTTTGCCTCCCAGATGACATGCTGCCCCTCTCTTTAGGCTCAGCCAGTACTCCTCCATACTGTTCAGGGAACTGGGTGGTCAAGGTCAGGGGGAAAGGCGTAGGATGTGGCCTTTAGGATTACTGAAGACTACTATACTGAAAGACCATGAAGCCATTTTAGGGATAATAAAAAATGTCCAAAATAAAGGGACAAAGAGAAATGCATTAATATGTCACCAGTCACCAATCTCATCACTGGCATTGCAGGCAGAGGCCATTATTGTGATAACCAATGTGTAGTCACTTATCTAATTACATAAAATAATCCTTTGAGAGTCAGTAACGAATTGACCCAAGAATAAACTTGAAAACTTCCATAAAAATAAATTTATAAAAGAGGATATTTTTAAAGTTAGAGTATATTGTTTCATAATCTGAAAAATTATTATAAATTTATGCAGATAGGTCAATAACATGATAAAAATCAGAATTAAGACATGTAGCCGTCATAGGATATGAGTCTACACACCTCAGAACTGGAAAGAGCAGAGTCTCTGTCATCTAAGTCCTTCAAAAGTCCAACCAGCCTTTTCTTCTCTTTATCGGTCATAACCACGGTGTTTCCTGAATCCTTGGCCAACTACAAAATTCATTAACAGAAATGTTAAACACTCAAAGAAATGCACAGTTCAGGAAAATACAAATGAGACATGCAGCTTCTACAGTATAGCTACACTAAGGCAAAATTTTATGAGATCAGGCATTTTATATTTACTGAGTAATTTTATTTTATGCCAAACGTTTGACAGAGGTACTTTCTTCAAGCAAATGTATTACCATTAGAGGCAGACCCTTACATTCACCATTTCAACAAACACTATATATAGATATATGTATGTATGTATAAAACACAATCAGTTGTCAAAATTCTTTTAATATAGATATGTTAATATATATATCACTGCAAAAGCATATCTTCTGAGACATCTGGAAGGAATCTTTTTGCCACTTCTTATGTGGCATATATCCACTAATGAGTATCATACCAGGAGTTTAGATAACGATTCAATTACTACTGATAAAAGGAGAAGAGAAAATCGATGGTGGAGCTGCTGCCTATAACAGTGATAGGAAGAACTTAGCAAGAACTTGATATGGGGAAACGCTACTGCCCTTGGAAAATCAAACAACAAAGCAACACACAATGGGCCAGTGAAAGACAAGACACAGATCAAGTTGGAAAGAAGGTGTCTGGGCAAAGGCCATCCAAATGTGGCGCACGGAAAAACTGACAGCCCCAGAGGCCATGAATCCCGTCTGCCTGGAAAAGCCATCGCCCTTCCACAGGGAGGAATTCCCTCTCTCCTCTTGCTAATACTTCACCCTCACCCATGCAGTTTTCTATTAACTTAAGTGCCTGAGTGGTTTGCCATAAGATTTCTGTCCACCCATGCTTATATTTCTTGGCATAAATTAATTTTACACTTGTGTAAACTAAATCTACCCAAAAAAGGAATTGGATCATCTGAGTCTATCTGGAGGACAAGCCAAGTCAGGCTGTAGCACCTGCAAGGGCAAGGACAAGCCCCGGACGTGGGGCGCTCGTCCCAGCAAGTGGCTAGCTGCCAGGAGGCTCAGGGGGCAGTCAACCAGTTGACCTCTCCAGCCCACTGCCGCTGCTGTGTCAGGAACATCTTCCATTCAAATTTCCACTTGCACCAGCTTTAAAAATCAGTCTCATTACTTTAAAAAAATAATAATAATTAATATGCAATTTAAAATCTGTAAACATTGTCCAAGGATATTATCTACATAAATGTTCAAATCGCAAGTCTCAGACTCCTTTGCGAGTAGTAAATGTTTTGAGTTGCAAACAGCATTTTTGAAAAGGGCTAAAATAGGATAGGGTAGGATAGGATGTAATGGATAAGAAAAGACAATGCATCAAATGTTAGTGAAGGTAAGTATTGGTGCATAAAACCTTCTGCTCAGTTATATATACTGTTTTACATGTATTGTGGTAAAAAAAATATTTAACGACAAGGAACACAACTATTAAACCATTTTCATAACTCATTTAGTCATGCCTTCTGGCTTCCGAGTTTCTAAGTACATACCTCAATGTTTCTCTTGATAAAATCTGGATTATGTTTACCCCTGACCTCAACATTTTCTGTATTTGAGGAAGATTTCTTATCTGATTTGATCAGTGATTCATTTCTTTCCACATCACAGATAAAACCTAATATTAAAAGTTCAGAATGTTGTCATAACTATAATTGTAAATTATGCTGAAAATTCATTTAAGGAGGTACTAAAATATACAAGAAATAAAACACACATAGAAGACCTAGCTTCTGAATTCCCTATCCAGAAATCTAATATAGATGGAGATTTCATCTTAAAAAGATAAATGTGCTACCATAACTTCCAACGTCACTCTCATAAAACGTCTTTCCTTATTATTATGTACCAAACTTCTTGCAGTTGATTCCTTGGGAAAATATGAAAAGAACTTCAACTGATACATGTGAATTAGAAATCTCTGGTGTTATGGGGATTTTAAAATATATTTTATTTTAGACTTTATATGAAACAAAACTTTCCGTAAAGACTGGAGTCCTTTCCTGCTATTCTGTAATTTGCCATCACACTTTCTGAACGACATACTTTGTCCAAACCTGTCTTCTAGCAAGGACTAGGATAAGCATCTTGGACGGTGACACCCCATCTGCACAGCCCCCCAGAGCCCCACTCTGTCTGTCAGTTTTTCTCAACCTTTGTTAAGAGGCCTGAGTAACTGATGGGATATTCAGTCCCTGAGTGCTCAACTCACAGGTAAGAAAAATACTTGTGGACTCTTATTGCCTTTATTAAATATCCTGTTTTCATCCCTGTCACACTTAAATCTTTTAAAACAAGACTGTCTGAACTCTTCGTTAAAGCTCCAAAAATATGTATAAAGAGGAAGAGTCCCCTTTAGTGACAAATGGAGTTCACCCTACATAATGGAATAAATCGCCACATTAAAGTCCAAAGAAGCCCTGGTGGCACAGTGGTTATGAGCTCGGCTGCTCATCAAAACGTCAGCAGCTGGAATCCACCAGCTGCTCCTTGGAAACCCTATGGGGCAGTTGCACTCCGTCCAATAGGGTCACTATGAGTCGGAATCGACCAAAAAGGAGAAAACATCAGCCAGCAGCTCAAACCAAACAAGGTTTACCTGAAAGTTACCTTTATTCTGTAAGAGAGGTTACATCAATAAAAAGAATTAAGTCCACTGGTGTATTTATAGCTAATTATAAAAGATTCAGTGGAGATTTAGTCATTAAAGAATAAATTTTGATGACAATAGCTGGCTAGGAAAAGGATAAAATCTCTGGATTTAAACCCCTCTCAAACACCCTAAAAAATCTTTTACTCAAATTTGTTACAAGTTTCTAGGAAAAATAAATATGTGCTTTATAAAAACCAAACCCATTGCCATCGAATCGATTCCGACTCATAGTGACCCTATAGGACAGAGTAGAACTGCTCCGTAGGGTTTCCAAGGAGCAGCGGTGGATTTGAACTGCTGACCTTTTGGTGAGCAGCCGAGCTCTCCACCACTATGCCACCAGGGCTCTGCTTTATAATTGAGGTCTTATGTTTTAATCAACCACACGTAATTATTTTCGAAATCAACTACCAATAGTTACAAGCATGAGTTGCTTTTTTGGGGAGTAGCTACCTTAGATATACAACAAATAACTATTTCTCATAACTGAAGTTGCGTATAGTCTTTTAAGTTGAAATATGTGGTTTACTCTTAATGCAACATTAACATAACTCAAATGCACCTATGCCTACATTTGCAATATAGTTTCTTTAAAATATACTTTTAATAAATTGTAGAGAAAAAAGCATTGGATTACCTGGCCAGAATCCTCTCTCTAGAAATGTCCCCTCTCTCCCAATCCTGATGATGATGCAGCAGGAGCTGCCATGTTCCTACTTGACCTCAACCCTTGCTGGGTTGGATGAGTTGGTTGGACCAGGGATAGGCACATGTCCCAAGCTGGATTAGTCAGTCTCCTCTAGGATTTTGGAATTAAGTCTCCCTCCCAATGACTAACCACAGCATATGCTCTTAGAAACAAAGAACGCTGTCTACAGCCACCATACTTTCTATAATTCTCTTTTTTGCTTAATCAGGTTTCTATTACTTGCAGCCGGATTTTAAAAACTCTTTATTATGTAAAAATTCAAACATCCAAAGGTAGAGAGGATGGTATAATGAACCCCTAACATCTAGCTTCAACAATGATCAACTCATGGCCAACCTTGTTTCATCTAGAACCCCGCCCACTTCTACCCACCTCTGGATTAAATGGTATCAAATCATTTCATCTGTGAATATTTCTATATACAGCTGGTATTTCCTTGTGACAACATATATCATCACAGAAATTAAAACATACCTTGGCTGGCATACGTTATATGGTGTCCATACTCTTCTGGAGGGACTTGAGTACTAAATACTGGAGGAAAGTTTCCTTCATCCTCATAGCGAGAAGAATCTATGGATTTAAAAAAAAATCACTTGTTCAATACACATAAAATAAATAAGAAATTGTCTACGACGACGGTTATTTAAAAAACGAGTAGATCCAATATTCCTTAATCCCCTCACATACACACGTTTCTTAAGAGAAATGCCATTTCCAAATGGAAATTGCAGTCACCTTTGCATGCACAGGCCACAGAAACAGCCAACAGAAGTTAAGACAGTCAAACTGTATTTCCCTAGAATTTAAGTGCAAAGAGGATATGTGAGGATGCGCTAATGTATCACGTTAACTCTCCAGAGAGAACGCATCCAAATCGCGACGTGCATCTACAGACAACACGCACACTGAGCGACTGTAATGGTATTCTTCTTTTCTATTTCAGATCCTCAAGGTGGACGCTGCAAATTTCAAACATGTGATCAGTCATTAACACAGAAGAATGTGTTTGAAAAAAAAAACTTTGGAGACTTTCAGCAGTTAAACTGTGCTTCTTTTGTGGCTAATCTCCATAAAGAAGATGGGGAATTGTACTTTGCCTTTTGGTGGTTGTTGTTTCAATGAGATTTATTTTTATATTCTCCTATTAGCTGGCTTAACTACTGTATATTTGCAAGTAACTGCAATAAGTATCTTTTTGAAAAACCCTTCTATAGACACTTAACATGACAGAATCTGCCGGGTTGTGGCATAGAAATGTTTTTGCTTCAGAAAATATGGCAGGTCTCGAAGATGTTACAGAGTTCACGATCTATGGTAACAAACCTGGTTCAAGTACACGCCCTCGAAAACAATGCAGGCAAAGGAGCAGCAGAGGCTACATTCACCCTCAACACACAAACATCACGAAGTTCCAAATACAAAGCTTGTGATATGAAATACGAATTCATCAGTTCCAATTCCCTAATGTGGGGAGCATCTGAACTGACATTACGAAGCAATCTTTGTACAGTCTCTGATGAGTTAATCAAATTAGCGGCGTTAGCCTTCGGTGAGGGGTGGGAGGGTTAAGCTATTCAAAAGAAAAAAAAGGTTCCAAGCTCTTTCCAGCTTTATTTATTTTTTTGGGTACAGACATTAATTATTTGTTAGCAATTTGGCAACATTTTATTATCGGTTGAAGTTACATCATATACTTAAAGTGGTAATATATTTATTTTTGATCCAATAGTTCCTTCTTAATAGTAATTTCACTCAGTTTTATCCTAAAAGACCTATAAAGACACAACAAATATGAAAATTTACACCACTGGAAACTCTTATAGCAAGAAATATTTGGACATAAAAGCCTAGGAGCTTTTCCTAGCTTGAAATTATTCTTGTGAGACTGTGGCTCTTCACCTGTCAGTTGGTGGTATTCATTTCCTCAGACAGAAGGTGGACACAGCCTGGAACAGAGACCTCACAGCTCAGCTTTGAATTTCAAAGACAATAGTTTTGAAAGCCAAGCATTCAATTGCAAGAGCTTAAAACCTTAAAAAGAAAAACATTTTCTGAATTCCAAGTTTCCCTTTAGAAAGCTCTTACTCACAGTAAAAAAAAAAAAAAAAAACCAACTCACAATGTAAAAGAAATGATGAAATTAGAATCTAACCATTTGATAAACATCATAATAACTGATTCAGAATCATCAGTGGACGATAAAACTTGTGGTGAAAGTTTGAGGGGTAACAGGGTATAGCCTTAAAGAATCTCCCTGCAAGATAACTTCTTAATTACAAAAGAAAAAACAGTAACTTTACAGTGGCAAAAGCCGGCAGGCATCACCAACAACGGGACGAACTGTCATCACATACTTCCTGACGTGACACGCTGAGAAGGACACAATATCATTTCTGTGGGATTCCTGCCAAAAATTCCTGACCCTAATCATGTGAAAACACAGACAAACCCAAAATGGGTTTATTCTACTGAGTAACAGTTTCTAGTTTTCAACAATGCCAATGTGATAAAGCAGAAGGAAGAAGACATGACAACTAAACGCAACATTTGACCAGGGGTTTTCTTTTGCTATATTAGTATTGTGTCAGTTAACTTCCTGGGTGTGTGTGTGTGTGTGTGTGTGTGTGTGTGTGTGTGTGTGCGTGTGTGTGTGCGTGCGATTTCCGGTGTGTGAGATTTCCTGTGTGTGTGTGTGATTTCCTGTGTGTGCGATTTCCTGTGTGTGTGTGATTTCCTGTGTGTGATTTCCTCTGCGTGTGTGATTTCCTGTGTGTGTGTGATTTCCTGTGTGTGTGATTTCCTGTGTGTGTGTGATTTCCGGTGTGTGTGTGTGATTTCCGGTGTGTGTGTGCAATTTCCTCTGTGTGTGTGTGTGATTTCCTGTGTGTGTGTGTGTGATTTCCTGTGGGGTGTGTGTGTGATTTCCAGTGTGTATGCGATTTCCTGTGTGTGTGTGTGTGATTTCCTGTGGGGTGTGTGTGTGATTTCCTGTGGGGTATGTGTGTGATTTCCGGTGTGTGTGTGCAATTTCCTGTGTGTGTGTGTGTGTGTGTGATTTCCTGTGTGTGTGTGTGTGATTTCCTCTGCGTGTGTGTGATTTCCGGTGTGTGTGTGTGTGTGTGTGTGTGTGTGTGTGTGTGTGAGATTTCCTGTGGGGGGGTGGGTGAGTGTGTGTCTAGAGAGGGAGAGAGAGCAAGCACCAATGTGGTAAAATATTAACATTTGGAGAATCTGGGTAAAAGGTATTTGAGAATTCTTTGTACTTTTCTTGCAATTTCATTTTAAATATAAAACTATATCAAAATAAAAAATTACTAGGAATTGTTCTTAAATTCCTTTTCTCACCACCAACCTGATAAACATTTATCTAGAAAAAAAGGAAATCTCCCTTTAGAAGGTCGAGCACAAGTTGTTTAATCAGAGCTCTGAAAGACGAGGATTGCAGGGTGTTTTTTAAGGAGTTTCCCGCCATCCAGGGAAGAAACAGAAGCCCACCCGGGGTAAGGAGGGAGGACCCAGACTTGTGTCCGAGGGGATAAATTTAGAGCAGACACAAGCGACATCAGGGCGAGGCTGCTCCCGGGCACACATCCTCACAGAGGTAAAATCCTAGAGTTGAACAGAAATCCAAAAAGGATGGGGAGACCCAGAGCAGAGCAGGCTCTGCCCCAGTGCACACCTGACCTCCGGGAGAAGACTCCACATCTAGTCAGGACGGCAGCGGCACGGTGGCACGTTTAGAGGGAGACAAACCCAAAACCAGCCGCCAGTGGGTGGATTCCGACTCACGGCCACCCCATAATCACACAGACGCAGACATACGCGCGCACACACACACACACACATCTCCCAGGGCTGGCCGGTGGCATAGAGAAGATCCAGGAGTTCCCAGATACTCCTGTAAACTAGAAGCAGCCTCAGGTCCTTGTGACGGGGTGAGGCTGGAATGCAATACCTCACAACCAGAGGGTGGGAACGGCAACGCCTATGTTGTTGGTAAATGCCAAAAAGCTAAATGGGACCAGATGCAAGTCAGCAGATGCACAGGCTAGCTTCCAAAATCCACAGAGCAAGCAGGAAGAGATACCTCTAGGATACAGCAAGGACTAGAGACCAGGACGCTACATAAGCCTCCCCCAGCCCAGACATTACCCTGAGAAAAGGAGGGAGAAGGGGAGAGGAGGGTGGAAAGACACCCTGAATAACAAGCATCTACCTAAAAGCAACTGAGTTTACCTGAAAGGTACTAAGTTTTAATTAGAAATTACCTACTTTAATGTTTTTCCCTTCTATGGAGTAGCAATGGAGGCTCATTAGTAAGTCGAGTTCAGATATGGAAATAATTCTGTATATATGATGCCATGGTTAAGAGCTTGGCTGCTAACCAAAAGGTCAGCAGTTCGAATCCACCAGCCACTCCTTGGAAACCCTATGGGGTGGTTCTACTCTGTCCTATAGGGCCACTATGAGTTGGAATCAACTCAAGGGCAACATGTTTTTTTTCTGTTTTTTTTTTTTAATGAGTTATAGGATATAATTTTTAAACACACTACACAAGTATCTATTGCTAGAATCTGAGAGCAATTGCCATTAACACAAAGGATGGAAACGGAGAGAGAAGAGCAATCAGTGACCAGGCAAGCATTGCCTACTGAAGCAAGGTGGTCCTGGGTCCAGAAGGAGACAGGCCAGCACTTCCTGTCCCTTGACTCATAGATGAGAAGGAGCAACCAAACAGAAACCCAGGCCCCTCATCCTCCTGAGCACCAGGACTGTGTCTTCAGGCAGTCCAAGTGCTGTTGCACTTGTAACAAAAATGAACTCAAAATGGATCACAGACCTAAACGTAAAATGCAAAACTATAAAACACCTATAAGAAAACACAGAAAAAATATCTACATGACCTTGGGTGTGTGAATGAGTTTTTAGATATAATACCAAAAGCCTGATCTATGAAAGAAAAACATTTGTAAGTTGGACTTAATTAAAATTAAAAGTGTATGCTCTGTGAAAGATGACTTCAAGAGAAAGAAAAGACAAGCCACACACCAGGAAAAAAATATCTGCAAAACCCGTATCTGATAAAGGACTTGTACACAAAATATACAAAGAACTCTTAAAACTTATCAACAAACAACCCAATGAAAAAGAGGGCAAAGATTTGAACGGACAGCTCACCAAAGACAATATGCAGATGGAAAATTACATATGAAAGGATACTTGACCCCATTTGTCTTTAGGGAAATGAATACCACAACACACCCATTAGAAAGGCTAAAATCCAAAAAACTGATAAAACCAATTGCTGGTGAGGATGTAGAGCAACAAGAACTCTCAGTCATTGCCAGTGGGAATGCAAAATAGTACAGCCACTTTGGAAGACACATTGGCAGTTTCTTATAAAGCTAACTGCAGTCTTATTATGTAATCCAGCAATCCTATTTCCTAGGCATTTACCCAACTAGTTTGAAAATGTGTGTTCACACAAAAACCTGCAGGCAACTGTTTATAGCAGCTTTACTTATAATCACCAAAAACTAGAAACAACCAAGATGTCCTTCAATAAGGGA